AAATCAATCATCTAATCTAATCACTATGGTTGTGAAAAAAAAATTTTAAGCGTATATATTATCTAAACCATCTATATCACCCTAAAATTAAGTATTTATAGATCCACAAGATCTATATCATATTTCTTCAAATTTCATAGCTAGTGTCAATTTTTTATTTTCAAGCCATTATAGATATTTTCAATGCCGAAAGTGCTTTCGGGACCAAGATTCGAGGTGGAGATTTACTTTGTTTTCATAGAGCCTAGGACCTATAGAAAAAACATCCTTTCTTTAAACACAATATAGTACTATGGAATTTTAGAAATCAATATATATATACATAGGTAGAAAGGAACACGAAGAAATCCAATATTTTCATAACTCGATTATCAACTCATCACGAGCATTTTTGACACTAGAACTGCATTTTACGCTGGGTTATGAGGTGTGGCCTTACTTTTTCTGTACTTTTCAATGTAAAGTCTAAGTCTCATGATAACCTTGTTTTTTCTTTTTAATATTAACTATTAATTTTCATTACTAAGCCTTATGCTAAGCTCAGTTGTGGAAGAGGGATAGATGATTGTCTTCTTTACATCACAAGAAAGAATGAATGACATGTACATACATCCACATACATTGATATCATACATTTTGGGAAATTTACTTATGATTCGGGTTTTTTTTTACTGTTATGACGGTATGGCCTGAAAATAAGCTGTTATGACCCCGAAGGATGCATCCAAGATTCACTTTGATCTACTTAAAAACACAGAACAAAAGTCAGTTGTACGTGATAAATTTGTTACAAACTGTAAAGTAGAGAGAATGGAGTTCTGTAGTTTGGGGCTTCTCTCTGCTATTTGTTTGTCTATTTCTCCATCTTTCACCCATTAATTAAGGAAACATAAAAAATCCTCAAAAAAAGATGGAAAAATGGACAAACAAATGGAAGAGAGAGAGAAGCCCCAAACTACATAAATCTATTATTGAGAGTTTGTAACAAATTTACCTCGCACAATGGATCGCCTCATGTTCTAATTTTTTTAAGTACACCAAGCGCAAACATCGGACTGCCTTCTGTATAATCTTTTTTACTAAAGAATGTTTAATCTTTTTTACTGACAAATGCGGTTTCATACCTTTTTGTTCAATTTTTTAGGTAGAAAAAACGGCTAAGTTAAACTTGGCAAAAAATAACATCTTTTAAAAAAAAAAAATAATTATAGAATTTTTAGATAATAACTGACTTATTTTGGAGCCATATCATTATAATGGTAAAAAAAAAACTAGATCCGTAAATTTCCCTACATTTTGATATGGTAATAATTTCAAAGTACATAAATGAGAAAAAGTAAATGAGAAATGTTTTTGTGGAAAAAACAATAAAGCGAACATCGTGAAGATCTACGTCAATGAATATATTAAAATAAAAAAATAAAAAAAAATGAAAGGGAAAGAAATTGATTGCTAAATCTCGAACTTCAAAGCAATCAATGTTCTGAGCATAGCATTGTAAATGTTAGAGTCACTATCGTCATTCCTTGTTTCTCTTCAAAGGAAAAAAAGAAATTGATTGCTAAATCTCAAACATGATAACAACTATGGTTCTGGCCATCTTCATTGCTCTTCACTCGTGCTTCTCATGGTCTTTCTTAGATTTGAAACCCTAACAAAAGAATTTCCAAATGCAAAGATTAAACTTAACAAGAGAGGAAAAAGAATCAAAGAAACTAGAGAGGGAGGATCAAGAATCATTAAACCAGGAGAGAGGAAAGAGATGAGAGAGAAGAACAAGAATCGACAACTCGAGAGAATGTGTGATTTCAAAAAAAAAAAGCTAGATAGAGATAAAAGTGCCCAGATATAGAGAGAGAGAGAGAGAGAGAGAGAGAGAGAGAGAGAGAGAAGAAAAAAAAAACATACCAGCATCTTCTTCAACCCATCTTTCAATTCATGAAAGATGCCCCTCTTCTTCTTCTCCTCTCTGATGACTGCTTCTCTCTCTTTCTTCCTCTCCTGCTGGTCGAGATCAACCTCGAGGTATACATGGGCATTTTTCAGAGCCCATTTGAGCATGTGATAGTGGTTGCGGCTGCTCAGCTGTCGTGCATGAACGGCCTCGGGTCGTTGTTCGAAAGCCCTAACAATCACTTTTGAAGTGCATCCAGGCGCCTCCTCATCGTACACAACCGTCTCAAACTTTCCATCCACCTCTCGCACTCCACTCCCACTCCTTCACCTTCTCACACTCATCACCATCCAACTCTGAGTATCGATAAAACTTCTTCTTTTTCACTCTCCTCGTCCACAAGTCTTCACCATGTAACTCCCTCTCCTCCCATCTCTTTTCTCTCTCTACCTCGCATACCTTCTTCCAATTCCTTCGCCCTCCTTCTCGTTTAACAGGATCCATTCTTTCTCAGATTACTCTCTGCCCAATGCCTCTCTCTCTTTTTCTCTCTAGAAAACCCTCTCTTTCTCTCTCTCTATAAAATCACAATAAGAGGAAACATTGAGGAAGTGGGGAACAAGTGGGTCTCGTTCACTTTCAAGTTCAATTAATGGCCGCATATTGATACTCTCTCTAGTAAGTAAAATTTATTTTTAATTAGGGGTAGAATAAGATGAGTTTGGAGGCTAGGATGCGTTATTTATTTTGAAAAAAATGTGTTTTTTTGGTTTAGAGAATAACTAATAGATAAGATAAAGATCTTTTTGTTTAAAAAATAACAAGCAGTGGGTATCTTTTATTCTAAAAAAAGGCTAGAAAATAGGACGGTACGTCAGAGAGAAGAGAGAAAGTAGTGTACTGTAAGAGTTTGGGTGAGGTGAGGTGCTCTATCTCTCGTGCATGGGCAACAGTAAAGTACTGCTCCACTTCCTAAAGGAAGTTCTCTAACTTCTTCGCTATTCTGGCTCCCAGCGTTGCTGTTTTTACTTTTGAGAGAGTAATAAACTAAACAAACAGTAGAGAAATTGCAAGAAAAGCAGATAGAGAGAGAGAGCTTTTTACGATGAGAGAGTAATAAACTAAACAAACAGTAGAGAAATTGCAAGAAAAGCAGAGAGAGAGAGAGAGAGCTTTTTACTTTGAGAGAGTAATAAACTAAACAAACAGTAAAGAAATTGCAAGAAAAGCAGAGAGAGAGAGAGACCTGTTCAATAGTTTGAGAAAAAAACAGCACCGATTTATGTACCACCGACCCTAAAATTTTAAGTAAAATACAAAATGTTCCTATTATAAATGTAATAGGGAAGTGCCTAAAAGCTTAAGGCACTCCCCTACTAATAAAAAAAGTATAAAAAAAACCCAAAATTTGGGTTGACCGTTGGACAATTTTGAGAAAAAAAACTAGGTTTACATTAATTTCTTTTTATAAATGAAGCATTTCATATTTTACCTTCTTTTCTATAAGTGAAGCATTTTGTATTTTACCTAAAATTTTAGAGTCGATATGTAAATTACTCACCAGAAAAATAATAATAACATGAGAGAGAGATGCTTGTTAAATAGTTTCTAAAAAAGTCATAAATTATGGGGGAGAAAATAATACAGAAAACTGTCATAATCTTGTCATTATTTCATGATTTACAGGAACGCGTAAAGCAGAAGCAGAACAAGTAGCATCGGTGCTTAGCATAAAAAGCATTTTCAAGCCGTTTTCTGGCTCCACTCACTTTACAATTCAATTTCATATCAATTTTCTCTCTCTAACTCTAGTGAGGAAGACAAATGAGTTTGAAAAGTGAAGCAAATGAAAGTTTATGAGAAAACAAGAAAATTGAAATGACGTTTTAGAAAGTGAGCATCAAACTTGCGGAAATTACATCAATCAATTTGTCTAAGCTTGGACATTGCTATCCCTAATTCTCAAACAGATGAGATTGAGTATTCAAACCAGTCAGAGATAGATTCAAAAGACAAGATGAAGTTTATATAGTTCCTGAGTTTTATGAAAAATAAAATAAACCTCACTTTAAATTCTCATCTAGAACAGAAGTCTTCATGCTGACTCTAAAATCAAAACAGCAAATTCAAAACTCAAAAAATAGTACAGAACTTGCAGATCAATAAACACTTATTTTTAGGGTAAAATAGATGATCTAGATGATCTGTTACACTATACACTATTTTTAAAACTTGAAGTCCTTTTTTTTTTTACAACCATAGTTCTCAAGCTAAGAGATGATCGACACTTGAATTGCAATTTTTTATAAGTTATAAAACGACGCTTTACTCATTTTGATGAGGCTGCAGCCCCTGCAAACCATTTTCCATTCCTCTATGGTCTATATTTGTTGATATATTAAGTAGAGGATTAATTTTGTGAGTTTTTAATTTTCTCATTGTACTATGGGTCTCGACTTTCAAATCTCCCAAAAATTCACTTTTTAAAAGGGGAAAATAAGCGCTTTCAAAATTAGATACACTAGAGTAGCATTACTTTTTCTTTGCTCTAAGCACTGTTTCAAAGCCCTTATTAGTCATTAGTGGGGCGGATCGTCCACCTCGCAAATCCATTTTCAATCATTTGACACCAATCCGGACCAGTCCAAAACAGTCACGGAGAAAATTAAAAAATAAAATAGAGGTGTAAGTGAATATTAGATCAATTTCAAAAAAGAGAAAAGAGGCGGGGGATGGCGCTGATGGTAGTACATTCCTCAATCTGGTAAGGTACCCACTGATTCTTAGTCTAGATTGGTAATTTTCGGTCTGAATTGCCGGATTCGAAAAAATAATTTTAGGGAAGCCAGGTTAAAATGACAATAAGATATTTTAAAATAAAACAGTTTTGAGTGCCTCAACAAAGTATGTCCAATAATGGGATTATGCGGTGATACAACATCTTTTTTCTGATCCATATGCTGATTTCTCAAAGGAAAACAATAAAAAGCCATTTTCACGAGTTTTAATTTTTTTGAGAAAAACCATTTTTTGATGAATTTTAAGCTTATGAGTAGAGCATAAATTTGTAATATTTTATGGAACTAGTGGCATCCTCGGAGCTCTCTTCCAATAAACAACTACTCCACTGGCCAAATAAGTAAAAACTGCACAATAAGAGCATGACTGTAATGGTTGTCTTTTCAACCTGAATAACAAAATTAAACAACTGGCTAACCATACACTCAAGCCCCTTTTTTTGTATTTCTCTGATTCGTACTTTCTCAAGTTCCTGACAAATACCTTACGAGTTCCAAAAGAGTACTCTCTCTAATGGAAATTATCTACCTAAGAATTTAAGGATGAATTGATCTCAAACGCGCCGATTGGTCATTTGTCCCTCAATACCACAAAGTTGGCCCCCCCGTTAGTCTTCTGAATTCTAGAGATCTTCTTAAGAACAGCTGCAAATGAATCCTTGTCCTGTGTAGCAAAAGCAATACCAGAGCAAATATCAGTGATACAATGGCACCTAGAAAACAATAATGGAAGTCCCCCTGCCCTTCCATAATAAGACTAGACCAAAATCTAACTCAAAAAAGAATGGGGGAAAAAACAAAGAGACCAACAACTTACTGGAGGATGATACTATCACACTAATACCAAAATCACCCATTCAGTCTAAACATTCAAAAAACTCCAAAGCCTCTCTAAATATGCAAAGAACTAATACTCTTTGAATCCCATTTATACATCTAAAAGTAACTTGATTGACAACCTGTGATTGTGATGCTACTGGAGCATGGGGAGCCATCAAATATTCTCTAGTAAGTTCTTTAAGCATTCCAAGAAACCACCTCATATAAGACACCACAAGCACAAAAAACTAAAAGAGAATCCTAAATTTTCCCCGGAAGACTGCATCCTCACTAATCAAATTTCACAACTCTCAATCACCAAGCAAAGGAACTCAACAAGTGGACATAGCTATTTTTGATATTCTATCTTTTATTGCTCATGCTCCATATATCATTATATCTATGAGATGAAATCCAAGTTTCCTGCATGTGGTAAACGCAACTCCCAAAGCTTTTTGAATTTCACAATAAAAGACAACTCTAATGAACTTTCTACATCTCTGTTCGTCTCAAGCATGTCGAAATCATTATCTGCCTCCTTCAGTCTCTAATTGAAGACTCAGAAATTGATCTAGCTACTGTAACTACCTTTGGTTTTTAGGTAGGTAACTTCACTCATTGAAAGAAACACGTGTCATCAAGTTGCACTTCGCAGAACAGACATACAAAACACATGAAAAAGAGGTTACAGGAGAAAATATCAGTTACTAATTTACTACTTTTCAGGACACCCTTATACAGTCTAACTGTAATTACAGAGTAACTACTTCCACCAATAATCATAAAGAGATGAAAAAGATATGGTTTTCTGAAAAGCAGGTGCACTAATTCAGCACAGCAGATAACAAGCAAAAAAATATTTAGATATATACCTCTTTAGTTCTAAGCCTGGCCTTGAATTTGCCAACAAGATCTTGTGTGGTGACTGGAGCCATCTGCAAGAGGACAGCCCTAATTTCATCCTCAGTGACAGGTACAGCAGCAGCAACTGGAGAACCTGCAGGTTTTGTTCCCGATGATGATGGAAGTTTGACCGGGGTATTACTTCTTTGAGCAGATGCGGGCTCATCTTTAACGGTGGTAGCAGGCTTCGAATCCTGAAACTCAAGCACATCTCATCATGTAAACGGTAAACACATTGACATATATGTAATGCATATGGGTAAGATACCATAAAACCCACACACTTCAAAAACTCAAATTTGGACTAATCCATAACTGAATCAACTCGATACTTGGGGAGTGACTCAAATGATATTTTCATATTAAAGAAGAAAAAAATATAAAAATATAATGCTTAATGATCAAGGAATAACATAAGAAGGTTTCTCTAACACACCCAACCCCCCCCCCCCCCTTTCCCTCTTTTCCTTTTTATTTTTATTTTCCATCCTAATGATGGAGTTCGAACTGGGTTCAAAAGCAAAAGAAATTGCAGAATAAGCAAACTAATACTCGTTCCACACCCCAAAAACAGAAAAACAAGTCAGTTAAAAACTCAGGCAAATCAAAACAGATCCCTGGGACTTAGACAAGCCAACTTTGGGACTTTCCCAAGTTTGTCATACAGGTCAAATCAGTACAAGGTACCAGAACCCTGAATAAAAAATAATAATAATCAAAGAAAAAGTCAAGATCATTTGTCATCCAAAATAAACAGACATACATTTTCTATTTTTGGTTTTTTGGAGGGTGCAGAAGCAGCAGGTTTTGCATCATCACTGCCAGATTTCCTCTTAGCCTTTGTTGACTTGGAAGTGGAAGGAGTGCCTCGATTGGATCCTGAAGTCGCAGTTTTGGTGGGACTATTATCGACAGGTTCCTCTTTAACCTCTTTCTGCTTTGGAGCTAACACAGAAGACGTCCCCATGTCATCATCCAACTGCTCACAGTCACAAAGAAAATTATCAATTCAGTGGGGATAGAGTGAAGGACAATTTGAATTGGTTCCAATTAATAACATCCACTTTACATTAAAAGATTCTATTGAAGGTATTATATATACGAAGAACTAGGTATCTGGAAACGTTTTCATCCATGTATGGATGTGGTTTAACAAGATATTTCAAGCACCAACCGATTCAGCTGATGTGGATCTGGATCTGGATCAGTGGGTGGGCAGTCTGCCCAGATGGGTGGGGAATTCACCCACTGATTCTGTGCTTTAGACATTCATCCTAAGTACGCCGTGAACCATTTGAGGAATACATAGCCACCTGCATTTAGAACTTACCGCCTAACAGAGAAAATTCCAATGACATTTCTCAATTACTCGTCCATTTTTCTTGAGTTGGAAAAGATCTAATTAGAGTATAATTAGTTTGTTTCACCATCAAAAACTTAAACAACAGAGGCAAACCCAGTAAGTAAGAGCCACTGTGATCTTTCAGGACTTCAAGATAATTATACTTAAACCAGCCAATCCCTCTACAGCCAACATAATAACAGTCCGCCAAATTTCAACATCCAAGAAAAAGCACTTGTGCAGGACCTAGGACATTAACCGACTCCATAGAAATTAAATTAAACCAACGAGTGAATTACATTGACCATATAGAAATTGATATTAGTAGAGCAATGAGTACATCGGTGATCAAATTACTCCATATTTGAGCACAGGAATCAGGCAACATGATTAACTGGAAGCTGTGAAGTTCAAATTAATTTTTCATGATAGGTACAAACTTAATGGTCAAAGCTTATAAATCTCTTCTTTGGATGGTACATACTAACTAATGAGTGAGGGTTCTTGAGTTTCAAAACTTTAATTTATCGAATAGTCCAGAATATGGATATCACATTAAAAGATGAAACAAAAAGCAGAAAGAGAAGTAACATTGGCATCATATGTCACTAGAGACCAGAAATTGGTTCATGGCATTCAAAATAACTTCAAATGCACATCCATAACAATGGAAGAATGCTCGTAAGGTACATCCTGCTCTCAAAAGAAGTCAATGATAAATCTTTAAAGAGAGATATCAGCTACATACAAAATGAAAAATTATGCAAACTATGTATATGTATATAAATGTCAAATCATAACATACACATATCTGCCAAATCAGAATAACAGCAAAAGGACTCACATCATCATCGTCGTCATCATCATCACCATCTGATTCATTTAGACCTCCAGCTCGTCCAAGCAGCTTCTTCAGCTCTCTCCCAGATTTGCTTAGTCCACCCTCCTCATCTTCATTTCCCTCATCCTCATCCTCATCATCCTGCAAATAAGGAGCTATCAAGTACAGAACTAAAATTTACGTCCCTTGAACCAAGAACTATCAGACCTAATGGTCCAGCTTGCTATCCCTGTTCACTTAATCATCTGTTCCACAAAGAAGAAAATAAATATAGAATTCTGAAGAAGGCTAGAACACGTTCTCAATGGCCTTAATTCATCTATTACACAAAGAAGAAAAGTAAAGCTAGAATCCTGGAAAGGCTAGAGAGCATTCTCAATGGCCACAAGACTTTGCAGAGACCAAAGAGAAAAACAGTGTTACCACAGAATATGCACTATATGAGTTCAAAACAGATGGCAATTCAACTTAAGCAGAATGATTCAAAAATTTAACCCCAAAAAAAGGAAAACGAATAATGAGAATTGGATATTCCTACTTCCTGTTATCCTTAAACCAATCCAGAAATCAAGACAAACAGCTAACTATGATATTATCGTTTTTCTTGTTTTTTTGGCAAGTTATTGGGACTATTGCTGTTTTCCTTGATCACGTGAAGTCACGAACATTGAAACACAGAAAAGTATACAAAGAGACGATTTACTTTTGGTACAAGGAGGTTACAATCACTTTTGTCCATCAAATTTCAAATCGGGTGGTTGTAAGTGTGTCACAGACTAAACATTTAAAAGAAAAATTCTCAAACGCCGAGACAGACCCCAAACTATCCAATTGGACATCTGGTGGCTAGGAGTAATTGTCACCTCCTTGTATCAAAGATAAATGGTCTCATGGTATACAAACCCTCAAGGTTTCAAAAAATGTTAAGTGGCCTCTAGGAGGGCCGGCTCCACCCAGAACCTTAGGCACCTTGTAGTACAAATTCTCTAGATATATAAATATATGTGCTGTCCAAAAGCACATATAGGCATATATTTGTGTCAATTTTGTAATTTATTGCATTTGAAAAATATTGTAACATACTTTTTTATATACAATTATATGACATATCGCATGTTGAGAATAAACTTGTTCAAATTTCAGAATTCAAACTATACAAAGCTGAAAAAAAAAAATTAAAAGTCTAATAGGCTATCTATTCCATAATAACATGGACTCCAAGTCTCCAACTCTCTAAGTCTTCCACAAACTTACAAAAGTATAAAACCAAACAACAAAATAATCCAAAAAGGTGAAAAGCCTAACATCCAAATGTCCGAAGTCCAAACCAAGATGGTGCAACAAAGACACTAAAGAAGAAGAGAGAGGACATTGGCGTTTCTCCAATCATCATCAATAATTCCAATGAGAAAAGAGAAGTTTAGGAAGCATCTACAAACCACAAAAAATACTTTTGATTATCAGAAATAGGTATTGCTAAGAGATTGTGGGCTTATGGAAGTGTTCTTTCCTTCTTGGGGGTCAAAATTACCCCCTTTTCCCTTTTGGGCATCTTTAAAAATCGAAAAAAGGCCCAGGTCCCTGGGCATTTGCCCAGAATTGTGCGCGCTGGGCGTCCGCCCAGGTACAACCCCCTAGAATGGGGCGCCCAAGTATAGGCATGTGGTCAGAGGTGTGTCTTGGGCGCCTAGGCGCTGGGCGGGCCGTTTTTTTTGCCTTAAAAAATACAAGGGAAATTATAAAAAATATACCTTAATTTTTGCCTAATTAGAAAAAAAACACATACTTTGATTAACCTTGTCCAATCCCCCTTTTTATCCTTTGGCATTTTTTTTACCAAAATAGCCTTCACGGTAGTCGTATTACCGTGAAGGTAGGTGTCATTACGGTACTTTAAGTACCGTAATGCTAAAGGGTTTCATTACGGTACTTTAAGTATCGTAATGCTAAAGGGCTTCATTACAGTAGTTTAAGTACCGTAATGCTAAAGGGCTTCATTACAGTAGTTTACGTACCGTAATGCTAAAGGGCTTCATGCCGACCCACCTCATTTAAATGTTTCAAGGTAATACTTTAACATTATAGTATTTAAAGTACCACAATGAAACATTTTAGCATTACAGTACTTAAAGTACCACAATGAAAACCTTTAGCATTACGGTATTTAAAGTACCATAATGACGCCTACCTCCACGGTAATACAACTACCGTGAAGGCTATTTTGATCAAAAAACGCCAAAAATGAGAAAAAAAGGACAAGGTTAATGAAAGCATGGGGTTTTTTTTTCTAATTAGACAAAAATTAAGATATATTTATGACAATTTCCCAAAATACAACCCTGGATTTTTCTCATTAGAGTAGCAAAATAATCCAAAATACTACATCAAGCTAGGATAGATGGTGTTTTTGGGCAAGAACCTCAATGAAGAGTGTCCAAGAAAATAGGGAATCAAATGTGGGCAATTACTGGTTTACAATTTACAAGGATTGCTCTATAGTGTACAAGGATGAACATCATAGAAGGCAAAAGCTGGTCACCGAAATAATCACAAATGCCAAAGGGCACCAATCTTTAACTCTTTATGGAAACCAAATGTATAGATAAATACATTGCACTCCAATAACAGGCAGCTACCCCTAGTTCAGTAGATTGCTTCAGAAAAAACAATCCTTCATTGTTAATGAAAGTACATCACCACTTCAGCACAAACCACTCCAGAAATTTGCCCATGACAAATCTTAACCAGAAATTTCTAATATGCAATTATGCATGTAGATGGGATACTTTTACAGCAAGGATGAAATTTTGAGCATCTTTTAAGATACTATTAACTAAAATAATGACCACTTTCTGTGTGTTTCCAGTTACAATGATCAACAAGAAAAGCTCATAAATACTAGAGGTCTGAGTAGAAACCAGAGTAAAAGGTACAGCAGAGTTGGATAATAATTGGAAGAGGCCAATTGATGTCATTGATGCAATGTCAGCAGCTAGTAACAAACAACTTGCAATTGGTCCTCTCAATACTATCCCATTATTTCTATGTGAACAGTTTCAACTATCCCATGATTTCTTCTGTAAATATAATTCGATAAAGAATCAGGCAGGCAGCGACACAAGGTAAGACAATGATAAGAACCGATATTGTTCAGTTAGCAAGAATCCAGCAATACAAGAAATCAGAGACATATAAAGAAAGCAGTATGTTTTGTGGGTAGCAAAAGCTGGTAATTTTCCCATGAAGGAAGATAAAAGAATGAATGTACTAAAAAGAGAATCTACAAGACTTTCGACTTCGGGAATGGCATGAGCTTCTTTCATGGAGGTTTAAAAATGCTCATGGCCATTGAAGAGAAGCAGGATAGAGTGGTCTCTAAGTGATCCTAAATATATTCAGACAGCCTCAAGAAAGGTTAGCAAGTGACATTTCTAATGCAGAGGCACCATCTCTAGTGGAGGAGGCTGCTAAATCTGCGGTTTGTGCTTATGGATACAGTAATGCATGACACGAGATAAAAGGAGCAGATACAATACTGATTCTTGGGTGTCTCTTTGAAATTTTCTTTATTGTACCCAGGTATCAGAAAGGAACACTATACTAGATTTGAATGGAAATCATACTTGTGTAGGGGGAGGGATTCAGAATTAGTAGCTTGTCTGAAGCGTGAGTCTTGATTCTTGTTGGAGCTATGCATTATTATGATTTCCAGCACAAATCCACATATTCGTGTATGTACATTACTTTTCAATGCTCCGCCTCACAAAGGCGTGTAAGCCACAGTTCCTATTAACGGTAGGTACTACAGTGAATCTTTTTTGTGGGAATACTTGATGATCCTATAAGGAACCTGTAATTTGATACGAATGGTACCTCGCAAATCAATGTTCAAAAAGTTGGATGTGGCAGCCGAGGCGGGCAGGGAGGGGTGGTGAGGGAGTACTTATAGAATATTGAGAAGAGAAGATGGAAAGGTACTACTAGAAATTTCACTGACAAAAATGGGGTAATTTTGGAATATTTTATAGTCAATTGTATACTATATGTTCATTATCAAGGTGCACAGCAAGGGAGAAAACAGAGGAGAGAAGAGAGGACTTCTACAATCTTAATGCCAATTATAGTTTTTCATAATCTCTCTTAATCCTGCTGTTTTTGCAACACCTGCTCTTGTTTGTGCAAAACGAGAGAGAGGGGAGGGGTGAGAGAGAGAGACCTTCTTCAATGTTAATGGCAGTTAGTGTCTTTATTCTCAAGATTGTTTCTCTCTTGAACCCTGCCTTCTACATCTACTTCTTCATCTCCCTACATTTTTTTACTCTCTTTTGAAGGGGCTTGCGTACTTTCTTTTTTAAGAAACATTTTTTTGAAGGGGGCTTGCCTTTAATATATATATATATAGGTAAAATTTTATATAAAGTTGCAACCTTAAAATGTAAAATTAAAGGTGCACCACAAAAATCCATCATAAAAGGTTGTTTGGATGTTGGAAAACCCTCTAATCGATGATCTCAACATCAAGATGTATGAATATGAAAAGAGAAAAAGACTTCGAGTCCGCGAAATAATGTATCTTGCAACACATTATCTAGACCGTCCATTTTCTAGATTTTCATGTGTTCATAGATCTACTTGATTTGAACCATTTTTAGAGTTCAAAATTTTATAATTAGAGATAAAAATAGATTTTCAAACCATCCTAAGTATTTTCTATATCAAAATTACATTTATGAGAAAATTTAGAGGTGTGGCTTAATTGGATTGTTTAAGGTTGCACCATATGCAAACCACACCTACATATACACACACACACACACACACGAAATCAACTTCTAACGCCTATAGGCGAAAATGAATAGTGTTATGCCCCCACAAGGGACCTATTACGTATGTGGCCTTGCCAAATCCCCACCGTCCAAAAACATGGCGAGCCTATAGCCGAAAACACTATTCATTTACGCTTATAGGTTTCGCGTAGGGCTTTCCATATATAAGGTGATGGCACTAGGGGGTGTATTGGCCCATCTTGAGCCCACCTAGGCGGGCCCCTAGAGAAAAACGTGGGCACCTAGGAACATGGCTGCCCAAGGTGCCACCTAGGCTTATTCTTTTTCTAGCCTACTTAAACTGCCTAGGCGGCC